ACACATTCGCTCCATACATGCCAAACACCTGCAGGGTTGCCAAGTCAGTCATAATCGAGGTTGAATTTCAAACGTTGTTCGCTCTCAGTGTTGCCAGTCGATCGTTCTATAATTTCCATCAGGTACCTTGAAAAGTTAAAATTAAAATATTTGCATCAAAAAAGTTGAAAAATTCGACAAAAATTGTTTCCTCAAAAATCTCATAAAGTATCAAAAATTTTCGAGATTTTTTTTCACCTGGCAACATTTAAGCTACTTGCCTAAAAATTGTTTTCCCGGAAGTACTCTGACAAATGTCGCCAAGTGCGTCAAAATCGGCTCGTCGTGGTGACGATACCCAATTTTTCGGATAAAACGGCTGCTAGTTTGGCCGCCATCTTGGATTTTGAAAATCCTGCTCCGTACCGATGTGGCCAACTTGATAGCGCATCCGATGCACTTTTTATCATTTTCCTAGTAGCAATACCGACTGCGCTAGAGTCGACAAAGTAAAAAATGGGTGAAATTTTTCAAATCGCCACATACACCAGGGTTGCCAGGTGTCGACGATGAAAATAGCCAAATGTCATTTCGGGGAGTGTCTTACGTCGAGAAAATACATTTTTGAAATCCCGAAACGGCTCCTTCTACTTTTCACCTTTTTGGGGTAAATCTCCGAAATTACCCAAAAATCGGGGAAAAATTTCACGTCATTCGAAAGAGCCAGCGGAGACTCACGACCGGTCCATACAAGGCGAAGAGCTCCGATGTTGCCATAGTGAGCTAAAAGTGCGTTTGAATTTTTCGAAAAAGTGAAAAAATCACAAAATGGCCGCTGCCGGCGCCGCCATATTGATTTTCCCGAGTTTCATAATTTTTCCATAGTCACGACTATATCTGGCGCGACACCTCATTCACAGATTTTCTCCGCTGGCCACCCAGGTTCCCAAACAATTCGGGTTATGAGGGCATGTCGAAAAACATGTTTTCTACCGTGGAGCCCAGGGTTGTCAGCTAGCAAAAACGAAAACTACCAAAAGTCATAGGGCTCCCCCGGCGCCACACCGCATCGAGTCTGTTTTCCGCGAAAAGTGCGTATTTCGAAATTTCACTTTTCTCCCAAAATCTCATAAACTACCACGAAAATGGTAGAAATACGTAGTGAAGTAGAAAGATCCTACCGAGCCTCATGACCGGCCAATAGAACACGAATCCGTCCGATGCCGCCATCTTGGAGAAAATCTCACTGGAAAATGGCGATTTTTCATTGCCGAAACAAAATGGCCGCCACCGCCGCCGCCATGTTGAAGCGCAAATGAAAACTCCCCGTCCGTGAAAATCGACTATACTTCCGAGCTGAAAGAGCAAAAATCCCCCCTCCAAACCCACAGAAAAACAATTGACGATTGCCCGAACAGAGGTCGAAAAATGTCAATTTTCTAGGTTAAATATCTCGGCCGCCATTTTGTTTTTTTAATCAAACCTTTTTCCAGTCTCATTTTTTTAGCCAAATCTACGACCATTTTGAATATCGTTACCGTAGAGTGAATAATGTACAATTTAAAAAAATTATCTCGCCGCCATTTTGTTTTTTTGCTGAACCTCAATGCCATTTCAACTCATTTAAAAAAAATATAGTCAGTCTCCATACACGAAAATGTCATTTTCTCACTCTTTCTACCCGAAAAAAGCATGGAGTGAGTGAGTGAGTCAGTGAGTGGTAATTAAGCTTTATATATTATAGACTAGCTTTCGCTTGGTTGCCCCGGGCTGCGAGCAGCCCGGGGAGGTCACGAGTAGCTAGTGGAATCGGGGCGGTGGGGTTTCCATTCCGCCTATTGTTATGTCGGGTTTACAGTTTGAAATTGCCTAGAAAAGGTCAGTAAGTTCTATCTTCAAATAAAAGGACACAAAGCACCATACATCCAAGAAAAAGTGTTGCCAGTTGACAATAGAAAAAAAATATATTCAGTCGAAAAACGCAAGCAAAACTTAAAGTAAATTTTGTATAGATACTTAAAATAAGTTTTGTCTTTTATTCTCTTATTCTTATTTATTAGTAAATTACTGTATAATATTAAAAAAACAAGCGAACATATATTTCCATCAGTGTTACTATCATTAATTAATCAATTAAATGTCAAGAAATAGTATTTGGGACCGTACATATTGTATTTGCATTATTACATTACATTATTTATGTAAGATTTATTTATTATACGAAAAGAGAACCGATGTCGTGGCCAGATATTAGAATAGATCAATTCACGACGCGATGGGGTTTTAAGTCCGTCTTCGTTTCAGAATGGAAGCTTTCGCTTGGTTGCCCCGGGCTGCTCGCAGCCCGGGGAGGTAACGAGTAGCTGGTGGAATCGGAGCGGTGGGGTTTCAGGTCCGCCTTCCGTTGCGAGAATTTGAGTTTTTCGATTTTTATTTGTTAAGTTTGTTTTCTAGTTTGAAATCGCCTACAAAAAGTTAGTAAGGTCTGTCTTCAAATGAAAGGTGTTTAGGCACCATACATCAAAGAAAAATGGTTGCCAGTTTACGCTTAACAGAAAAAGATATATTCAGTCGAAAAACGTAAGCAAAACTCTAAATAAATTATAGTCTCTTATTCTTATTCAATAGTAAGTTTATATTCAGTATGAAAAAGGATCGAGTAGATATTTTCCCCCAGTGTTACCTTAAATAATACACCAAATAAATAAATGTCAAATTTCAAACTCATACCTACGTAGAACACTTTCATTTTGAATATCAAAAGAACATGTTTTCTCAATAATCTAAAAGTATAGAAAAATATATTTTAAGTATTAAATATCGTGTCAAAAATTGGATTTTCTTTTCTCCATACTTACTTATGTGAAAATGTGGGTAAAGATACCTACACAAATGGTTCCTATATACACGCTATAAAGATCCCGAGTTGTCAAATCCATCAAAATCAAAATTGAAATTAAAATGGTCATGATCATCTTTTAAAAATTATAAACCAAATGTTACCATCAACAAAAGCGATTTGTTTCTGGCACTTCGCCGGCCGCTGCCGCGGCACGCTTGCTACGCTCGCTCGGCTCGTGCTTTGTTTTCATACACTAACCTAACCCATATGTTATAATAAACCTATTTAGGTTTCTGTTGCTAAACTAATTACAAAGTTTATGAGCATATACAAAAAAAATTTTGTGCATTACTGTCAATTTAAAGTATATACATTCTTTATGTAAGTTTTATATATAATATAAAAAGGGAACCGATATCGTGGCCAGATATAAGAAGGTATCAATTCATGAGGCGGTGGGTTTTTAAGTCTGCCTTCGTTGCAGAATTTGAGTTATTCGATTTTTTGTTTTGTTTGTTTTATAGTTAGAAATCGCCTACAAAAAGTTAGTACCTAAGTTCTATCGTCAAATAGAAGGTGTTTAAGCACTATACATCAAAGGAAAAGGGTTGCCAGTTTACGCTTAACAGAAAATGAAATATTCAGTCGAAAAACGCAAGCAAAACTCTAAATAAATTATAGTCTTTTATTATTATTCAATAGTAAGTTTATATTTAGTAAAAAAAGGATCGAGTAGATATTTCCCCCAGTTTTACCTTAAATAATACACCAAATAAATAAATGTCAAATTTCAAACTCATACCTACGTAGAACACTTTCATTTTGAATATCAAAAGAACATGTTTTCTCAATAATCTAAAAGTATAGAAAAATATATTTTAAGTATTAAATATCGTGTCAAAAATTGGATTTTCTTTTCTCCATTCTTACCTATGTGAAAGTGTGGGTAAGATACCTACACAAATGGTCCATATATACACGCTATAAAAATCCCGAATTATCAAGTCCATCGAAATCAAAATTGAAATTAACATGGTAACTGCGCGGGCTGGACTGCTCATAGTCAGCCTTACAAGATCATCTTTTAAACATTATAAACCAAATGCGAAATCAATAAAAGCGATTCGTTTCTGGCACTTCGCCGGCCGCTGCCGCGGCACGCTCGCTACGCTCGCTCGGCTCGTGCGTTGTTTTTCATATACCAACCTAACCTAACCCATATGTTATAATAAACCTATACAAGTTTTTGTTGCTTTATTTATTACAAAGTTCTTGAGCATAAACGAGTCGCTTGTGGAATCGGAGCGGTGGGGTTTTAAGTCGGCCTCTTGTTATGTTTACAGTTTGAAATTGCCTAGAAAAAGTTAGTGAGTTCTATCTTCAAATAAATTGTGTTTAAGTACACAAAGCATCATACGTCAAAGAAAAAGGGTTGCCGGTTTACACTCAATAGAAAAAGAAATATTCCGTTGAAAAACGCAAGCCAAACTAAAATAAATTATATAAAATAAATAAATTTATTCTCTTATTATTATTCAAAAGTAAGTTAATATTTAGTTAATACATATTAGAGTTTTAAGACCGCCTCTTGTTATGTTGGGTTTACAGTATAAAATTGCCTAGAAAAAGTTCGTAAGTTCTATCTTCAAAACATCATACATAAAAAAAGATTGCCAGTTTACACGCAATATAAAGAGAAATATTCAGTTGAAAAACGTAAGAAAACTTTAAATAAATGTTGTATACATCGGTTTGTAGTCTTTTGTTTTTCTTTTTTAGAAAATTTCCTAAAAATCACAGTATAAAAAAAACAGTTTTTTATCATCCGGCAACACTTCAACGGAATACATTTTTTTTCTGTAAGCAATCTGAAAAATGTTATCAATAATGCCAAAATCAGTTCTATAAAGTAAAAATCGTGAAAAATTATACATTTTCTAGATAAAATGGTCGCTGTCTTAGCCACCATCTAGAATTTTCAAATGATGATGGGCAAAAGTGGTCCAAGAGCCTCCATCGATAAGAATAGTACCAATCGATAGACATTTTTTTTCTCTACAAATAATGTTAAACGTGATTAAAATCCATCCGAGGGATTTTTTTTAAGAGATTCGTTATTTATTATTTTTACCTTGTTTTTTCTTAGTACTTATCTACTTTAATATCATTTTACAATAAAATGCCGACTTTTGGCGGCGCCGACGCAGCGCATAAAGCATTTGCATCACCCTGTCCCCCCTCACCTTCTCACCCGCGCCACAAACAAACCCCCGTCACCCGCAAGATGAGTGCGTACTCGTCAAAACCGGTAGCCATGCTCATACACGAAGACGCACCCCACCATTTTCTTTTGTATTTCGATCTCTATCTAAGATCTATGGTCTATCGCACTGTGGGATGCTGCGCCCATGTCATGGTGGTAGCTTGGTACCTTGGGTATGCTCGTTACGAGGAAGTTGTGCATCAACCTGCTAGATTTTTGGATCTAATAATAAACGAGTATTTATAGAATCGCATTATGTTATACTAATTGATTGTTTAATAAAAATGTTGATTCTCTTTATTTTCTATTTTTTATACGATACCTTTTTTCGCTAACAATCGAGCATGATACCTTAAGCCTTTGATATCTCGATTCTATCACCGGACTTACAGACACACGGCAGGATTTCACCCTCACGTAGTAGATATACCGTTCTCGCGTACGAAGCGCTCTTCTTCAACTTTTATATTGCGCACTGCTAAATGGAACTCCCTGCCGTTGTCTGTTTTTCCAGAAGGGTATGACTTGAACACCTTTAAGAGAAGAGTAAACACCTTCTGGTTGATCTCGTTCCATCGTCAACCTCGTCGTCGCTTTTTCAGAGGCGAGCCTGAGGTCAAGAGTGACCCCATAATCAGTAAAAAAATATAGAGATCGCTAATACTCGATTGTAATTGACGTCATATAATCGGTAAATCTCATCAATCACTGTGAGATTAGCCGACAAGTCAATGTGACGTTATGCAATCGAGTATTAGTGATCTCTATGATCGTCTCATAGCCCCGCAGGGGTATTTTCAATAAATAACATAAATCATAGGTATATATGAAACAGGCACCAGGGTGTGTACACAATAGTTCCTAGTTGCAATAACCTAGTTACTTTGATTTTATAACATTGCAAAAAAAAAAACACCGGGACCAATTTTGATGCCCTTCTGTCATTTTGAAGTAAGCATATGGGCCTTTACTTTGGCATATGTTTCAAATATGGAACTTCTTGGACCAAACTCCATACAAGTTTGCCCATCCTCTTTTCAGCCTCAGACCTAAATAGCTCACTTATAAGCACATTTGGTCACAGTTGCTTAACCGATTGACCAGGTCTCCATTTATTATGGCTCGCTTCGCTCGCTTTTTCTTTTTGTTTTTTTCGCAGTTCTAATCTAACCGATTGACCAGGTCTCTATTGATGGTGTCGTTTATGGCTCGCTTCGCTCGCATTTTATTTTAGTCATAGTTCTAACCCTATCAATTAACCAAATATCTCTTAACAGTCACTCCTTATGGCTTGCTTCGCTCGCTTTATGTTTTAGACTCGTTGCTAACATAATCGATTGATCAGGTCTCTCTTAATGGTTTAGCATTATGGCTCGCTTCGCTTGCTCTTTATTTTGGTCACAGTACTTTAAGCAATTGACCAGGTCTCCATTTATTATGGCTCGCTTCGCTCGGTTTTTATTTTATTGACAGTTCTAATCTAACTGATTGACCAGGCCTCTGTTGATGGTGTTCTTTATGGCTCGCTTCGCTCGCATTTTATTTTAGTCACAGTTCTAACCTTACCAATTAACCAAATCTCTCTTAATAGTTACTCTTTATGGCTCGCTTTTTGTTTTAGTCACAGTGCTAACATAACCGATTGATCAGGTCTCGCATTTTGGCTCGCTTCGCTTGCTCTTTATTTTGGTCACAGTCCCTCAAACGATTGACCAGGTCCCCATTTAATATGGCTCGCTTCGCTCGCCTTTTATTATATTCACAGTTCTAATCTAACTGATTGATCAGATTTCTATTGATGGTGTTTTTTATGTCTCGCTTCGCTCGCATTTCGCTGGCGAAAATATTGGAATTTTTTTCTCACTACGTAAAGATTGGGTAACGATGCACAAACGGTTTATTAATGCTTTAAAGCTCCCGAGTCGCCATTTCGGTCAGAATAATTCTGAAATTTATATGGTGACTACTATCAATGCTGCTAGTCAATCACTCAAATTATTCCATCAATTATTTTACAAATGCAATAGTGAAATTTTTGCATGAAAACTTTCATTAAGGATGACATACATGAAAATTTTCCTAAAAATCCCGGTATCAAAAAATGTTCACATTTTTTTTTTCATCTGGCAACACTTCAGCTGAATACAAATTTTTTTTGTTAAAAGTGTTCGGAAAAATCTTACCTAAAACGCTAAAATCAGCTCTATAAAGTGAAAGTCGTGAAAAATGATCAATTTTCTAGATAAAATGGTCACTGTTTAAGCCGCCATCTTGAATTTTGAAATTTCAACCTCAGACCTATGTAGCCCATCTATTGGCGCATCCAACGCAGTTTCTATTATTTTCCTAGCGGCGATAATAACTGCGCTAGAGTCCAAAACGTGAATAGTGGGCATTAAATTTTCATACTACCGTAGCTGCCAGGGTTGCCAGGTGTAGACAATGAAAATAGTCAAATGTGAATTTGAGACGAGCTCTCCATCGACGGATACCAATTTTCAAGTTCTAAAATTGTTCCTCTGACATTTACAGTTTTTGGGGTAAATCTCAAAAAACACCCCTAAAGTCGGGTAATTTTTTTCCACCATATGAAAGAGTCTATAGAGATACATAATCGCTCCATACATGCCAAACACCTGCGGGGTTGCCAAGTCGGTCAAAATCAAGGTTGAATTTCAAACGTTGTTTGCTCTCAGTGTTGCCAGTCGATCGTTCTATTTTTTCCATCGGGTATCTTGAAAAGTTAAAATTAAAATATTTGCATCAAAAAAGTTCAAAAATTCGACAAAAATTGTTTCCTCAAAAATCTCATAAAGTATCAAAAATTTCCGAGATTTTTTTTCACCAGGCAACACCTTAGTTACTTGCCTAAAAAATGTTTCCCCGGAAGTCTTCTGTCAAATGTCGGCGAGTGCGTCAAAATCGGCTCGATATGGTGACGATACCCAATTTTCCGGATAAAACGGCCGCTGGTTTGGCCGCCATCTTGGATTTTGAAAATCCAGCTCCGTACCGGTGTGGCCAACTCGATAACGCATCCGATGCACTTTTTACCATTTTCCTAGTGGCAATACCGACTGCGCTAGAGTCGACAAAGTAAAAAAATGGGCAAAATTTTTCAAATCGCCGCAACCACCAGGGTTGCCAGGTGACCACGATTAAAATGGCCAAATATCATTTCTGGGAGTGCCCTCCGTCGAGGAAAGGCATTTTTGAAATTCCAAAACGGCTCCTTCCATTTTTCACCTTTTTGGGGTAAATCTCCGAAATTACCCTAAAATCGGGGAAAATTTTCACCTCATAGGAAAGAGCCGGCGGAGACTCACGACCGGTCTATACAAGGCGAAGAACTCCGATGTTGCCATGTAGGCTAAAAGTACGTTAAGATTTTTCGAAAAAGTGAAAAAATCACACAATGATCGCTGCCGGCGCCGCCATATTGATTTTCCCGAGTTTCATAATTTTCCCATAGTCACGACTATATTTGGCGCGACACCTCATTCACAGATTTTCTCCGCTGGCCACCCAGGTTCCCAAACAATTCGGGTTATGAGGGCATGTCGAAAAAAATGTTTTCTACCGACCCCAGGGTTGTCAGCTCGCGGAAACGAAAACTACCAAAAGTCATAGGGCTCCTCTGGCGTCACACCACATCGAGTTTGTTTTCCGCGAAAAGTGCGTATTTCCAAATTTCACTTTTCTCCCAAAATCTCATAAACTACCACGAAAATGGTAGAAATTATTACCAACTTGAAAAGTGTGCAGCGAGCCCCATGACCGCCCCATACAACGTGAACCCGTCCGACGCCGCCATCTTGGAGAAAATCTCACTGGAAAATGGCGATTTTTCAATGCCGAAACAAAATGGCCGCCACCGCCGCCGCCATATTGACACGCAAGCGAAAACTCCCCGTACGTGAAAATCGACTATATTTCCGAGTCGCCAACGGAAAAATCCCCCCTCCAAACCCACCACAAAAGAATTGACGATCGCCCGAACAGAGGTCGAAAAATGCCAAATTTCCAGGTGAAATATCTCGGCCGCCATTTTGTTTTTTTAATCAAACCCTTTTTCAGTGTCATTTTTTTAGCTACATCTACGACCGTTTCGAATATCGTCATCGTAGAGTGAATAATGTAGAAACTAAAAAAATTATCTCGCCGCCATTTTGTTTTTTGGCTGAACCCCAATGCCATTTCAAGTCATTTTAAAAAAATATTATCACTCTTCATACATGAAAATGTCATTTTCCCCCTCCTTCTACCCGAAAAAAGCATGGAGTGAGTCAGTCAGTCAGTCAGTGGTAATTAAGCTTTATATATTATAAGCTTTATATATTATAGAATATATATATATAGACAGACTAGGTAACGAGTAGCTAGTGGAATCGGGGCAGTGGGGTTTTAAGTCCGCCTCGTGTTATATCGGGTTTATAGTTTGAAAACGCCTACAAAAAGTTAGTAAGTTCTATCTTCAAATGAAAGGTGGTTAAGTACACAAAATACCATTCATCAAAGAAAAAGGGTTGCCAGTTTACGCATAATAGAAAAAGAAATATTCAGTCGAAAAACGCAAGCAAAACTTAAAATAATTTTGTATAGATCGGCTTGTAGTCTTTTATTCTCTTATTCTTATTCAATAGTTAGTAAATATTTAGTTAATACAGATATTGGGTTAAAACCCCAAAACCTCCGGCTCTTGTTATGTTAGGTTTACAGTATAAAATTCCCTAGTAAAAAAAGAAAGTTCTATCTTCAAATGAAAGTTGTTTAAGTACACAAAGCACCATACACTCAATAGAAAAACAGTTGGCCATTTACACGCCCATTTACAATAGAAAATGAAATATTCAGTCGAAAAATGCTAGATAACGATGTTATGTTATAATAAACCTATTTAGGTTTCTGTTCCTAAACTTATTACAAAGTTCATGAGCATACATAAAAAAATTTTGTACATTGCTGTCAATTTAAAGTATATACATTATTTATGTAAGTTTTATATATAATATAAAAAGGGAACCGATATCGTGGCCAGATATAAGAAGGTATCAATTCATGACGCGGTGGGTTTTTAAGTCCACCTCCGTTGCAGAATTTGAGTTATTCGATTTTTTTTGTTTTGTTTGTTTTATAGTTAGAAATCGCCTACAAAAAGTTAGTACCTGAGTTATATCTTCAAATAGAAGGTGTTTAGACACCATACGTCAAAGAAAAAGGGTTGCCAGTTTACGCTTAACAGAAAAAGATATATTCCGTCGAAAAACGCAAGCAAAACT